GGTTTTATAAGCTTTAAAGATGAGCAAGAAAGGTCCCCAGTTTCATTTTAATCCGATTTCATTATGATCTGCGACAAGAACTGTCCATAGATTTCGCGAACTTTGATTGGTTTAGATCATATGATTTTGTAAACAACTTGATCTTAAATGCATGTATCTCATATCTAACCATTTTTTAATGATCTTACTAATTTTATATATAATTTGCAAATAGTATACTATACCCTTAAACTGCGCCTAAAAAATATCATCTTATTGATGTTGTTGCCTAGCTAATATTGCCGCTTTACAATTAAAGAATGTATCATCTTCTCCCAATCCATCATCTTCATTTTCATAATCTTGCTCTTCATCATATAAAATATTACTATTATTTTCATAATTATTTTCATAATTATTTGTATCTACATTCATTATTTCTTGTAAATTGAGCGTGCCAACTTGTTCTTCCGTTCCCACACTAATTGGTGGAGTTGGTGGAACTGGACTTAGAATGCTTATAAGATCATCAACGATAATTTTTGCCGCTTCTTTTGCAGGTGTTTTCATCAATTTTGATGGTGCAACTGAAAATTGAATTGTGACTGGTGGTGAAAATTCCGCAAAATCACTATCTGTTCCACGAGACGATGGTGGCCCACCGGGGAAATAGGTGCTTGGACGAGAATTTGTTCCTTTATATGGATTCTTTTCTATAATAGGTTTTAGAGGCGTTTGTCTGGCCAACATTTGTTGCCTTTGCATCACTCGTTCTATCAATGTATTGGGTTTACGATCTAAAGCTGGCATAGATATGTAAGTAGACGTAGTAGCATGAGAATGATCTCCTGACCCTTTCTTTTTTGGAATTTTTTCTCCCCAAGGTGGTGATTGCAATAATTTATGCTCCAACTTTGGTGGTTCTTGTAATGGTGTCGATGAAATGGAAAGATATTTTGCAGAAGGTGGGTAGATACTCGAATCAGTGCTCTTACTATTCTTACTATTGCTCTCCATATTATTTTCTTTTGAATTTGATGAACTATCGGAAATTTCCTTTTTGGAATCAGCGCTCTTACTATTCTTACTATTCTTACTATTGCTCATCGTATTATTTTCTTTTGAATTTGATGAAATATCGGAAATCACCGTATTATTTTCTTTTGAATTTGATAAATTATCGAAAATTTTCTTTTTGGAATTGATATAATCCATCGAAGGTGGTGAAGAGTTATCATTTGAAGAAGATAAATCTAAAGATTCAAAGAAGGACCACCATAACTATCAAAAAAGTACATATAAATCGCTTGATTAACTATCAAACTTAAAATCATCGCGTATATTACCGTGACATGGTCATTAATAGCTTTACCTTTGAATTTTCCCAAATATCCTCTGAAACTTCTGCAAAACGTGATATTTGTGGTAGTATTCTGGTAGATACTTTATGTTGACATATAGAAAAATTGTTATCAATTTCCTGTAGTGTCAAAGTAATATTCTGTTCTAAGTTTTCAAGTCTAGCAGTCAAATCGTTAACCGACGGGAATGCCATTTTAAAACGCGTACTATACACAATAAGAATTTGAAAATTAACTAGCTGCCTTACCAAAATTGTTACGGCAGATTCTCGATTTTGATTGGCTGTCCTCATTTAAATGTTTTTACCTACTGTTAGTGTTCACAAGCATAGCAGACAATCGAATGATTGGCTGTTGGTTGTAGATCACCACGTGAATAAATCAACAAAAATCTCTTAAAATGATTGGCCATTACTTATCGGAGAATGACCCATGTAAATCACTTTTTTAAAACTTTAATCGAAGGTAACTTGACGACCACCTAACCAAATTCGATAAATGTTTCTCATTTGAATTCTACAGACTTGTAGAATTCTAATTAAAAAACATTCATCGAATTTAGTCAGGTAGTTATCGAGATACTTTCGATCAAAATTAGAGAAAATTTTGCCGCAGTTATTATTTAGACATTTTTTAAAAACTTTGAGTGAAAGTATCTCGACAACCACCTGACCAAATTCGATGAAAGTTTTTTATTTGAATTCTACAGGCTTGTAGAATGCTAATTAAAAACACTCATTGAATTTGGTCAGATGGTTGTCGAGATACTTTTGCTCAAAGTTTTTAAAAAATGTCTAAATAATAACTGCGGCAAAATTTTCTCTAACTTTGATCGAAAGTATCTCGATAACTACCTGACTAAATTTGATGAATGTTTTTAATTAGAATTCTACAAGTCTGTAGAATTCAAATGAAAAAACATTCATCAAATTTGGTTAGGTGGTCGTCAAAATACTTTCGCTCAAAGTTTTTAAAAAACGTCTATCAAAATAACTGCGATAAAATTTTCTCTTAACTTTGATCGAAAGTATCTCAATGACTACCTAACCAAATTCAATGAATGTTTTTTATTTGAATTCTACAGACTTGTAGAATGCTAATTAAAAAACACTCATTGAACTTGGTCAGGTGGCTATCGAGATACTTTCGCTCAAAGGTTTTAAAAAATGTCTAAATAATAACTATGGCAAAATCTTCTCGATAACTACCTAACTAAATTCGATGAATGTTTTTTAATTAGAATTCTACAGGTCTGTAGAATTCAAATGAAAAAACATTCATCGAATTTGGTTAGGTGGTCGTCAAGATACTTTCGCTCAAAGTTTTTAAAAGTGATCTACATGCCTTAAACTAATTTATTAAAAATTTATTAAAAATTTATTAAAATTTATTTTTTTTATTTTTTATTTTTTTTTGTTTAAAATTTATTAAAAATTTATTAAAATTTATTAAATACAATTATACATTTAAAATCCATCTATGGCTATTTTACAAGCTTCTTCTACTCTATTTAATGCACTTTTATCTTTTTCTAATTGTGCAAGAATATTATCTTCTAAGGACAAATCTTTAGTTTTTGCATCTTTTGATTTTTTATGACATTTAGATTCGTGATTACCTTCTACAAGATCTTTATCATCCTGCTTTGTTAACCACGTAATTAAAGAAGAAATGTTTAGCTGAATACCTTTTTCAAGAAAAGACTGACAATAAAAACATTTTTGAAAAAAAATATTAAAACAAGCTTTATGTTATCCATAGTCGCATGCAAGAATAATAGGGTTTAGACTTGAAATATTTAAAAGTGTGCCACAATAGTCACATTTATCTTTTGCTGGAATATAGTCACTACTGAATCCTAATGGCATTTGTTTCTTGTTCGCCACAATATTCAAACCTGCAAGATGAAATCGATGTTCTCCTTTAGCTATCTGGACAATTTTGCTTTTTCTAAAATTCCTGTAAACTTTTTCAAAAATTTGTAATAAAAAAACTTTAGTTTTAGTTGTAAGTGGTAATAAACACTCTTTGTTAGAATTAGTATTATTTCATTTAGTAACAAAAACTTCTTTAAATGTATTCATAGCCTTTCTTATGTTGGTTATTTTTGCCTTTTTTGAAAGTTGCATAGTTAAATCCAATGGAGAAGAATGTTTTCGAATAATACTATGCATGCTCTTGACAGGATAATCTAAAAATTTAACTAGATACTCAATTAGTATATTTAGTATCAGATAGTTATTTTTCATCCAATAAAATATATCTGAAAAAAATATTAGTGGTGCTTTGTTATAGTTATGCCTCTCAAATTGCAAAAAAATAACCCATGCACAGAAAATATCTTCTAAATATGACTTCTACTCACCTAATCGAAAAAAGATAGAATAAATATCAACTCCTAACAAGATAGTGTTGTCAAGTAAGTTAAAAAGAAATAGATATTCTAAATTTTTACAACACTTTTCGAATTTGTTAACTACAATTGGCTTGATATCTTTCCATACGTTTTTTGATAAGAAGAAATAAACGATACAGACTTGAATTTTGTGGAAAGTTCTTTAAAGCACAAAACAAATACTTATGCTGCATATTGAAAAAACTCCAAAAATTTGTTAGTATAGAACTGACCAAATTAAGTTGCACACATAATGCACCAATTATTGGTATAAAGGATATTTCATAAGCAAAGACTAATTGTATTTCTTATCCCTTAAGCTGTAGAGTTTGTGTAACAATTTTAGCTTAAAAATAGCATAAATTTAATTATGATTTATTTTTTTTAAAATTTAAAATATTTAAATAAAATTTCATATAATAATATTTGAAAATAAGGATTATCT